TATATATTTCCATTCGAATAAGGTTGTAGTGAGAAAGTAACTCAGATAATGTAATTAGCTTGTTATTCAAATTATTTATTTATTTTTATTTTTATTTTTAATTACTATTATTATTGTCTGAGCATATATCTGTTATTGTTTAATTAATATAATTATTATTTTTATTTTTCTATTTGATTTACAAAAATAAGAAAACTAAAAATGAACGAAAGAGAACACAACAACAACAACCAAAAAAATGTTAATTTACTTAAATCTTACAATGCTTGATTAGTAATATTAATTAAGTAAAACTATGTGTATATTTGTTTTATTATTCTACATGCATATGTGTATATTATAATACATATGAATGTATAAGCGTGTGCTTAGCACTATAATAGGTTCACACCTCATTGCCTTACCACTACCACTTTCCTGTGACACACCTGTTTTCTCTTTTTTTTTTTACCAACAAAATTATAATTGCATGTGTATTGTTTGTTTTTTTCTATTTTTCGTATGGTGCCCTAGAGTGACAGTTATTTTATATATATATATATATAAATATATATATATATATATTTTGTGACAGTGTACAATCCCGCGCATTGCCAGGGAAATTTGATCCTTTTTTTGCCCTATTTCATTTTTTTTATGTGAGAGTGTGTACTTTTTCTTTACTGTGTATGCATCCATCAATTAAAAAATCTGTTTACAGCTCTCAAGGAAATAGGTAAGCCGCGGTGTTGAATGATGAATGCATCATTGTAGAGTATCATTGGTAGTCTTGTGTACTTTCTCTTTTTTATGTTGACTTTATAACCAATTTCTAAACGTACAGTGTAAGGTCATCGAAAATCATTTACTATATTTTCCAAACGTCAATAATATATATATGTGCATATCTAAAGTGCAATCTAATAAAAAAAAAAAAGAAAAAAGAAAAATACATATATATATATATATATATATATAGAACTACTTTGAAATTTAACAAATTTCCATGCTCTACCATCTGTATGCATTAAATCAAAATTCCTTAATACAATAATGCTGTATACACAGTACACTTTGAATGCTTTAACGTGCACCAATCATTTACAAAATACATATTCCTTCAAAGCATTTTTATCTTACATTTAACATACAATCAATTGCATTATACATTTTTCATAAGCAGGATAAAATTAAGCCAGAATAGAAGAAAAAAAGTTATTAGTATTATATTGATCATTGATTAGAAAAATCCTCTAATTTTGATGAATATATATATGTGTGTATGTGTCATGGAATAATTCAATCAATTTTCGATGATCTATGCAATATACATATATATTCTCAGGACATGTGATGGTGGTAGGGTAATCGTTGGAAAGTTTCTCGCGTGAAGAGTTGTAATTAAATTTTCTTCTCTTTTTATTTTTTTAAATATATTTTTATATACATATTTTTTTTATTTTTTATATATATATATATATATTTATAAAATCTAGTGTTCATCAATTTGTTTCTTAATTCTTTTATATACTTTTATATATATATATATATCTTTTTTATATATAATTTTTTTTTCCAAATTTTTATTATATACTCATCATTATCATTATTATTAATGCTCTGTTATATTATTAAAAGAATCGCTGAGAAAAAAAAAGTGCGATTGCATATTATATTTTCTATTTTTAGTATTTCTCAAAATTTATCTTTTCCCGGCATGCCTTTATTACATAAAACAGCATTACTTGAGTAAGTTGCTAATTGGATATATCGTGGCTAAATTTGGGTCTATTTGTAATGTGTGTTTTTATAGATTATGATTACGACTATTACGGTTATGGGGATTATCGAGGTGGCTACAGTGATCCATATTACGATGACTATTTTCGATACGAAGATTGCTATTTCGATTATGCGCCGCCTCCGCCACCTGCCAGAGGGAGAGGCAGGCAGCCTCAACCGGTGGGTCGCCTTTTTTAATGGTTCTAAAGTCGTTTTTGTTCTTGAAACATATTACTTTGATATATCAGCGGTAGTTTGATTGTGGCACAGTGTTCGCGGATTCCTAGCGTTATTGTATATCCACTTTAATACTTTTGCCCTCAGATATATATATATATATATATATATATATATATTACTCTCTTACCTCCACTCCCCCCCAAAAAAAGCCCAACATTTTGTCTGAGCGTGTCATTAACTCTGGCTAACTGATAAGCGCCTAGCTATTTATATATATATATATATATATATATCTATATAAAACTATGTATATGTATATATATATATATATATATAAACTCACTACTAATGCAGGGATATGTACACTTGGAATTAACTTAAAAATAACATCAAATGCACTGCATCCACAGTATATTCTATATCAATAGTAGCAATTGCTCTCTCTCTCTCTCTCTTTCTCTCTCTATCTATCTATTTATCTATCTATCTATCTCTTTCTCTTTTCCAGCTTTTAATGATCCAATACAAAACTAGTTAAATAGATAATAGTTAAATGATAAATTAAAGAACGTAAGCGAGCGTTTAGAAAACGTGCATTAAATGTTAATGTTGTATTTAAAATAGAAATATGAGAACAAGATAAAAAAAAAAAAAACAACAAGGATAAAAAAAAAAAGAAAAGCTATTAATAGTCCACTGTGAGTGCATTGTATTATTAAAGTCCTGCTAGACCCTAATGCATATCAACTAATATTCCAGCACTAAGATCGCTAACGTTATCCTCCTAATCCGAACACATTGCCACTGTCAAATTGCTTGCAAATCATATCTGAGCCATGGTAGACCCATTCTAAATTTCAACCAAAGTACAGCCGGGAAAAGTATTTAGAATAATATAGAAAGACAAATGAGATGAAAACGAATGATATAAAATGAAATGAAATGAAATGAAATGAAATGAAACTAAACGAAATGATATGAGATCAAATGAAATCAAATGAAATTAAATTGAATTAAATTAAATTAAATGAAAAGAGAGAGACAAATTGAAGAAGTGAGTACTGTAAAAGTATGTTTAATAGATACGTCATGAAGATTATGTCCGTCCTTCCGTCGAACATTATTTAGTATTGCAGGGTTCCCTAAATATTACCCCTCGCCACATTATTATCAACTTCAGCATTACTCCAGATCTAGGCATTATTAACCCATTCTACACAGGAGCTCATATTTACATATGTGTGTATATGCATATTAATATATACAATGTATATATATATATATATATATGCATATAAACATATACATATTATATACATAGTTATCATCTAAAACTTCATACTTTGTGTGTCGAAACAAAAAGAAAAGAACAAAGAACTTCGGTTGATATTTCTCTTTTGCTAAACAAAAACAAAACAAAAAAATAATAATAATAATAATAATAACATAAATAATAATTACTAGAGCAGCGACGTGTTGCGTCTCGTGGCTCGGATATGATATACTTTTCTATGTCAAGTTGCAGGGTTATCCAAATACCATAAGGGAGCACTTGGGCGCCCTGTGAACACCATTATAATTATATCATTATTATTATATATTTATTGCGATCAACTTTTTCTCTTGGCAGTCTCACTAATGCGACAACGCAAAATGCACTGAGAGTTATGTGTTTATAATATATATTATTCGATGCTGCTGCTATGTTCCTCGTGTCATGGTTATACGTTGTAGTTAGTCGCTTTTCAAATTTGTTCGATTAATAATCGTATTATTATTATTCGTCCATATATATATATATATATATATATAATATTTATCTCGTGGCCTGTTCATGTGCAGCATCGTTTTATTTTTCTTATTTATTTATTTATTTATTTATTTATTATTATTATTTTTTTTCCTCCCTCTCGCGTGTGTTACATTTCGACGTTTGAAAAAGAAAAAGAAAAAAAAAACATCGACTTTTCCGTCATAAGAGAATGTTAATTTGCAATTTTATTTTACATTTGTATTTTTGTTTTATTTTATTTTACATTTGTATTTCGACAAAATAATCTTCTTCCATTTTTTCTTCTTCTTTTTTTCTTTTTTTTTTTTTTTCTTGCCTTTTATCGCTGTACATGTTGTACTATTATTAACTATTACTACTACTATTATTACATTATATTATTCTTCATACATTTCACTGTGTAAGGGATTAAAAATCCCTTGCATGCAATCTCATTTAATTTTAAGAAAAGTCTTCTTAGAAGCTGCTAGTCGTTATTTGTACATACATTGTTGTTAAATAAATACAAAAAGCAAGGTTTCTTCTTTCTACGTATAGTCATTTTAATGTTTTAATGTTAAATTATATATATATATCTCCAAGAGAGAAAGATAAAGAAAATATTTAAAATAAGGAACAATTATCGTTATTTGTTGTAATTGAATCAAAGTAGAAAAAGGTCAATTTAACGTGTGCTCAAAGTTTATAGGAAAAAATGTTATATATATATATAGAATAGATTAGATTGTTAGGTCTTGTTAGGTTCAGTCAAAAATCTACTTAAGGGTTTAATCTTTCATTATTATCTATGATATCGTATTATTATCATTTCTTCAAATATCAGATTAGATAATGTAAATAATATTTTTATTTTTTTATTTTTTTTTTTGTATACAAAAGTGATTCAAATGAACTACTTTAAATTATTCGACAAAATTTCTAAAATATAATTTGATTATATAGCCCCACTTGCGGTATATGGAATCATCTATATATATATATATCGTTATGTTAATTAGACGTTCAATAAAAATCATATCGATTGTTGATATACGCTTAAATGTGTATTTATTAAAAAGAAAAAGAAAAAAAAAGAAAAAAAAAGAAAAAGGGACTTCTTCGATAACATTTTTAATACAGTTTCTTACAGGAAAAGTCGTACAGTGCCTTGGTGCCTGAGTTTGAGAGATTGTATGTGTTACGAAGATAAAAGAAAAAAGAAAGGAAAAACGATAGAAATCTTTACCCACATGGATTAAACGTTCGTTCCCAATGGCTGTGTGTGTCATAATCACGTTTTGTGGATCTTCGCTGGGATCCAATGAGAGTCAATTGATTCAATGTGCCAATTTGATAGCAGGAGGAAAAGTTTTTCGCAAGTTGTGTACGACAATATTGGAATAAATAAAAAAAAAAAAAAAAATAAAATAAAATAAAATATCAAAGGGATGATCAAAACCATTTGGATATTTGATCGTATTAAAATAGCTGTTGTATATTATTATAACACGTTGTATTGTACACTGATTTTGTGCGTTGTTGTTGGGTGTGGCAGGCCATAGATAGAGAGAAGGAAATACAAATTGAAAATATATATGTGTGTGTATATAAAAATACATTAACAATAAGATTAATAAATTATATATATATATATAAATGTATTTATATATATACACACACATATATATAATACACACACTGTGTAAAACTGGTAGTGTAACCAGTAACACGACTGACTCATGGCTCTTGCTTCTGCTTTTTAGTAAATGCCAATTGCTTTTAACGCTTTTTAAAAAAAAAAAAAAAACCACGCCGCTATATGACGTTGTGTGCTGCCGCTTATAATATACATTGATTGAATTTTGTTCTAGCTGCCAGTGCAGTAGGTTGTGTCGCTTAAAGTTTCTTCGCCAACCAATACAGTTCGCTTTATCGCTTTACTACATTGGATAACTCTGCTAACTCTACTGCTGTATGTAAAAAGATTTGGTTAGTAAGTCCTGGTGTTTATTAGGTGAGCTCTTTTCCTGTCGCATTCTCTTCCCTTCTATCTATCAAGCTCTCTCTACCATAAAAATGACCTCTTTACCTTTTTCACTATCACTGTCTTTCTCATAAATGATGACGCGTGTGGATACACGCGTATAAATATCGTGTATGCGTGTACACACTCACTATTGGTATAATTGCATAAAACACAGACTATATTTATTTTTTAACAGATAGATATATCAGTTGTACCATTTATAATATTTTCAGCTGACTCTTCTTTTTTTACCTTTATCTCTAGAGCCCGGATTCTATCATATCATATAATACAATATTATGGGATATATAATATATGTTGTCGTGTATTATTGTTGATTTTAAATAATTGTGATATTTATTCTTATTATTGTATATATGCTATATGTGATATCAATTTTTAATATATTATGTATATATATAATATATATGTGTGTGTATATATATACATACATACATACATATATATTATATATAAATATATAATAGGGAATGATGTCGTTTAAAAAGATGCATTTTATATTAATAATTTTAAGAAAGGGAGAAATGAGTGAAAACAATTGTGTTTGAAACAATCAATACCAGAAGGGGTAACAATTGGATGTGTGTTGTTTGGTCAGGCTGGGCGTGGGCGTGGAGTGGTGCCGCGTGGCCGAATCGGTGGCCCGCAAACCACCCGTGGGCCAGTCAGGGGGGGGCGCAACCCCGCAACTACAGGGGCCCGTGGGGTCCAGCGACTGGCCGCTCGTGGGGGGGTCCGCGCCAAGGGAAGTTTACCAGGTGAGGATGGTCTGTATCTCCATAATGTATCATCTTTTATCTATTTTATTTCTTATTTTAACTCATCCTTATACTTTTATCATTTCTATTATTTTATCTTTATTTTCTTTTTTAATCTATCTTCTTTTTATTACTTTTTATTTATTTACTTTACTTACTTATTTTAATCAACGTCCCTATACAATCATTTATTCCTTCCTTGCTTTTCTATTTACTCTTTTCTTTCCTTTAACTTTTATGACAAATCTATCAGTTTTTTTTTTTTTTTTTTACGAATTATTAAATTATTATTAATTTTGTTAACTGTTAATCGATACGGTGTGTCGGTTTTTAAAGAAAATCTTAATTTTTGTTTTTTCTTTTTTCCTTTTTTTTTTTTTTTTCCTAAATGTGTTATACAAAAGGGGAACAGTAATATGTCTACATCAAAGACTACTTATTATTTATAATACTAATTTTATTTTATATACATCTCACATATTCTCTCACAGCTTTGACAGCATTAGCACTTATTGCTAGTTTGCTACTGTATTGATTATGTCTTTCTCATCTTTTCTTCGCATATAAGGATTTAAATGAAACATTAGGTAATATATATTAAAATGTAACACATAATGCCTCGTACATTATATATACTTACAGCAGTACTCAATTATGTAGCACATTTATTAATTAATTATTTATATGTATTCGATGGAGGGGGAAAAAGGAATCGAAAAAAGAAAAAAGAAATGAAATTAATGTTTGATTATTTTTCTTACGTATTGTATTATTTAATACTAAAAATGGATTGCGCTCCTATCAAGTAAATTGACACATTGAATCCTTTATCATTTAATTAGATTTTTCAAAATCGCTCTCTCCTGCAAGAATCAAGCAAGTTTAACAATTTGGTAAAAGATTGTTACAACAAAATGTGAGAATAATTCGAATGAATATTTTATTCGCGATGTTGTTTCTTCTTCATTTACAGATTTACTAATGAACAGATTGTCGATGAGCTCGAGATGCATTTGAATGATAATCGTGTATAATATTTTCATTTCAATATGATTGCACATTTATATTTCTATTCAATATCACCGGAATACCATGATTCGTATTATAATGAAAGATTTATCCTGGTTTCCTACTATCCTGGTTTCCTACTATCCATCCGACGTTGATGATAAACTAGGTCAGTTGTTCATAAATTACTAAATATTTATATATACATATAATGTAATATTATTTCTTTCTAATAACCAGCAGAACAATATAATTGTCCTTTTCCCCTTTGAAGTCCTAACATTTGATCTTTTTGTTCCTTTAAAAATCACCAAACCATTGATAGAAAGTCAAGAGAGAGAGGGAGAGATGAGAATAATTGATATATAACAAAGATTAATATGTTTTACAGCAGGTAAACGAAAATTTGACGGGGGTCACCAGAACCAGGGGGAATCTAAACGTCGCTTCCAGAGCAATTGGGGAAACCAACCCCTCGCCCAACAACCGCTGGGCAATGCGTACGGATTGGCGAGTGTGAATGGTGGCAGTGGTGGTGGTGGCGGTGACATAGGATTCGGAGGAAGATCTGCAGCACTCGGTGGCGTTTCTGGCGATGATCACGAATGGTATCAAGACTCTTATCAATCGTGGAGCTAACTTCTGCGTGTATGTGAGTGATAATGCGTACGAACATACGTATATAATTGCATATAAAAACAAAACAAAAAACAAAAACAAAAACAAACAACAAATTAATACGAAAAAATTAACATAACGCGTCACAAGCGATTATATAGAAAGAAAAGTGCGAGTGGGGTATAGAGAGAGAGGGAGAGAGAGAGAGAAAGGGAGAAGAATTAGGCGAGAGCGCGCGCGACAGAGCGAGAGAGAGAGAGTATGTGTGAAAGAGAAATAGCATGCAGGGTTATAATAATAATAATAATTATAATAATAATAATACTAATTAAAACAGAAATTAAATAAATGAGGAAAAAAAAAGCGTTTAGAAAACATGAAAAAGTTAGCGCAGAAGAGAGGTTTACGAGAGATACAGAGAGAGAGAAAAGATATGACGAAATCAATATCCGGTAATAATATAATGAATTTTTTCAATTATTAATTGGAATTTATATTGTAAAATGTTTTTTCGCAAAAGAAAATGAAACGGAAAGAAAGAAAGAAAGAAAGAAAGAAAAAAAAAAAATACTAGATGGGGAAAAAAGTAAGAGAAGAAAGGAAAAAAGAAATTAATAACAAAAAACAAAAAAAAGAAAAAAAGAAAAAAAGTAAGAACAAAAAGCAAAAGAAAAAAGAAAATATACGGAAAAGAGTAAGAGTTCGTGCTCTGCGCCACCACCATCGCCCGCTGTTGTTGTGATTATTATGTACAGTGATGTGCCACTGGGACTAATTATTACATCGGAGTGACCACCCACCCACCCCGTACTATTATTATTATATTTACGATAATATTAATATTAATACTAAGTACCACTACTGCATTGTCACATTGTTTACTGCCAAGTGTTGAAGAACCAGCGATGTTGACATTCGGATTTGTGATGGATCGTATTTTAATTAAGAGAACTCATGGAAGCCTGCGGTTTTTATTATGCGATGAAACTAGATTTTTTTTGAATCTATGCAATGATGAATGATGAGAGCGAGCGAGCGAGAGAGTGTGAGAGAGAGAGAGAGAGCGAGAGATACATGTGTGTGACCGAGCGTTTTTTAGATAGGGAGGGAGAGAGAATGAGAGAGAGAGAGAGAGAGAGAGAGAAAGAGAAAGTAATAATGTTAGAGGAAATTTTTTAAGAATTATTAACGATAGAGGATGTTTTTCGAATAAGAAAGATGATGGTGATTTAAAATTAGAAAATTACACAAATTTTAGTGAGAAAAATTAGACATGTATTTAAAGTGTTCCAAATTCTCTTTAGGACAAGGACAAAAATTCAAGCGCCAAAGGAATGACGATTATTATGATTATGATTATGATTATGACGAAGATAATTAAGAGAATGGAGGAGAGGAATGTTTAAAGGGGCGCGTTTAGATAGAAAAGACGACGTTAGCCATTAACGAATGAGTGTGTGGGAGTGTGTATGTTATTAAACGTGTGTTTGTATGAAAAATCTCGAACGAATTCGCTTTTAGAACGAGGATTAGAAAAGATGATCATGATGATAATACTGAAAAGAGCGAGAGAAAGAGAAAACATAGAAACCGAAGAGAAAAGTGGTTGTTGGAAGGTAGAATGAAGGATGTTCTTTTTTTTTTTTTTTAAGAAAAACAAACACAAAAAAAAAAGAAAAGGAATGTATCTCTTTTTGTGTGCGTATGTGTGAATGTGGTTGGAGCGTGCCAAGCGCGCGGCTAGACCTTCTATTGTTGGTCTATAAAAATGTGTACAGTCAGTGAAAAACTATTATTATTAAGGGTCGGGCAAGCTTTGCGAAAGTTAGTAAAAAAAAAGGAAAAAAAAAAGAGTAAAGAAAAGAAAAGAACAGAAAAGAAAAGAAAAGAAAAAGAAAACAAAGTTTGAAACGTTTGTTGGCCAATGGCTCTGCGGGTATCTCCCAGAAGGTTTGTTCGGTTATGAGGATAATATAGTTATTGACGAGAATGAAAAAGAAAACTACTCATGGGATAATAATCTTTATTTGGTCAAAAGGAATGAAGTCAAAAGAAAAAGTATATTTGATGCTCATGAATGAGAAAAAAAAGACGGAATGATAGAAAAGATAGTTAGAAAGAAAGAGGAAAGAGATAAAAAAAAAAACAAAAGAAAAAACCCACTTGTACAGTAAATTTTTTCAATGGCAGTATCGGAAGTATATTAGCGAGGGTAAAAGAAAAACTCGAATCTAAATTATATTTGTATTTATTTGTTGATGTGTTTTTTTATAATGAAATTAGGAAGTTTTAAAAAAAATAATCCGTTGACGGCTAAGAAAAAAAGAAAAAAAGAAAAAAAGGAAAAAAGGAAAAAAAAGAATGTAGGGAAAGAAAGAAAGAAAAAAAGTGATAGAAAGTGGATAAAGGAATTTCTTGATGGAAACCTTTTCTAATTTTTTAGATAAAAATGAAAAAAAATTGTGATGATGATGAATTAAGAATAAGATGGTGAGAACAAAACAAAAAAAAAGAAAAAGAAAAAAAAGAGATGTTAGTTCGCCCAAGATTTTTTTTATGTTCCAATTGCGCAGAACAAAAAAAAAATTTTAAATAAAGAAAAAACGTTTTTTTTTGAAGTTTGATATTTGACCTCGATTAGAAATTTGGCAAATAATTATATATAGTTACGAAATCGCGGAAGGTAGGATTACAACAAAATGTACGCAGAAAGTTTTTAAATGCATGAACACATACAGCACACGTTTTGAGTGTTGACTTGTTGTTATTGTTAGCCTGTTAGTTAATTAGTAAGAGTTGTAAGTGCGGGCTGTAGTTGGTCCCTGTCCCTGGAGCCCAGACACCCCCTGTTCTGGAGATTATTTGAAAAGGACTAAAAAAAAAAAAAGAGAGCATACGCAAAACAATTTATATTTTACACGCACCCCCCGACACACACGAAGTTAAACGAAATAAATAAATAAAGAAAGAAAGAAAGAAAGAAAGAAAGAACGAACGAAAAAGAGATAAGGAAATGATAAATAAATAAATAATTAAATAAATAAATAAATAAATGAATAAATAAAAAAAAAAAAGAAATGAATGAAAGAAAGAAAGAGAAATATAATAATGGACGACTGCATATCAAATCTCTGCTGTTTAATTGCACACTTTAATGAAACAAGGCTTATCGTATTATAACGTTAGCCTAATTTGATATGAAATAATAGCAGTAGGATGGACGAATATTAATAATAATAATAATATTAATAATCAATCAATCAATCAATCAATGAACCACAATCAATCATGCGATCGAAATAAATCGGTTATAATAATAATAATAATAATGACGTATCCCCCGCCATTGACTACCCGAATAAGAATGATTTATCTGAATATGATGTTATAAGTGAAGCACATGAGATGATAAATAATAATGGTCTTACACATAAAGAAAGTACCGAAACTAATAGACGCAACCATGTGGACAAAATGTCTGGATGACGATCGATTGCTCGCAAACCCTCGTATTTATGAGCATTTTGTTAATTTTTATTCATGTTTTACTTAAGTCTAGTTTTTTTTTTTTGTCGTCGTCGATACTGTTTTGTTATTGGCGATTTAAGCAACAATCTAGTAGTAATCATTAACTTTTTTCTCCTCTCCATTCTTACTTCCTGTCCCCCCACCCCCACCCCAATTTACAATTATTGTTTAAAAAAAAAAAAGAAAAAAAAGTATTAAAAAAAAAAAAAAAATTCCTACCCCCCCTCTAAAAAGAAAAGTAAGGAAAAAATCCCAAGATGCAAAAAAAAAGCAAAAAAAAAAAAAATTTATTACATTTAAAAATAACCATTGCCATCTTTCATTCCTCCTGTTTCCCCCTTTTTACTCATTATCCAATTACCGTATTTTATATCTACCTACCTATTCTACTTACCTACACACATCCTATTTATAAAAGCATAATATCGAGGATATAATACTATTAATATTAACAATATAATAAGGATGATATTGCTAATCAATACTGAGTGGGTTTTTGTGACATGATAATATTTCAATAATTAAACAAAAAATGAATAAAAAAAAAATGATAAAAAAATGACAAAAAAAAAATGATGATAATAATGAATGATAATGATGATGGTGACGATGATGATGATGATGATAATGAATGATAATAAGTAATATTCTGGTTTCTCTCCGAAAAACAAAAACAAAAAAAAAAACAAAAAAAAACACATAAATTTATAAGTAATAAAAAGGATGATGGTAATGATGAAAGCAAAAGAAAATAAGAAAAAGGAAAAAAAAACATAAATAAAAACAAAAAATATAATTAACCTGGAATACATTGATGATTATATAATAATAGAATGGCAAAGATAGAAAGGGAAAGAAAGAGAGAGTTTCGGCTTGCGGGGGCAAGGAAGCTTAACTGGCAAAAGCGGAGGCAGTTCACGGTGACGAGACTTTAGACTGATCTAGGTACTAGCGTTACGATATTGGCCCCGCCCCGGCTTATAAAGGCGCCCCAAAAGTATCACTCACCTCCTCTTTTATACTCTTACCGGTGTGGCAGCTGGGGTGCCTGGGGGGTTGTCGGTCGCATTTAGGATAATGCACCACTGTGGCTGGCGATGCTATGGCCACACACGCGCCCTTTTACCCGGCCAATGCCCTAATTCGCGGTTTACACATCCTTGGGAAACTTGACTCTTTTTTTTTGGTTGGCCCGTATCAAGGCGGCGGATGTTGTGTGATTTTTGGGTCGATCAATTTATGTTAATTACGACCCAAAGACGTGTTTTTTAATTATATATAAAATATATTATATATTATATTCCTACGAATATGCATTTTGTGACGTGATGTTATTTAGCAGTAATAAGAAAAGGAATAATAAATAAATAAATAAAATAAAATAAATGAATAAATAAATAAATAAATGAATAAAAAAAAAAAATAAATGAATAAATATGAATGATTTTAAAAAGATAATAATTAATAAAACAAAAAAAAGCAAAAAAAAAAAAAACTAAAAGGAAAGAAATTATGATGAAACGCAAAAATGGGAAAAAAAAAGAAAAAAAAGAAAACATCTTTTTTAAACGAAAATACAAAAAAAAAAAACAAAACAAAAAAAATCTAACAAAAATTATTATTATTATATACAAATCAACAAAAAAAAAAAAATAATAAAATAAAATATAGATAGATAGGAAGAAAAGAACGAACTAACGAACGAACGAACGAACGAACGTACGTTTACGGTACCATGTTTATGTTTCGCGCCACATGTCAGCTCCACGGCTACATCAAAAATCTAAATATTGTCGAGAACATTTTTTTAAACAGCAATTTAAATTCTTATCTCATTACTGGATCATGTTTCAATTTATATATATGTGTATGCATATGTATATACATATACATATATTTTGATTTACGTGTATATGTATATATATATGTATACACAAATATATATATATATATATAAATAAATCTATTATTTTTTTTCTAAGTTATCATCCATCTACCAATTGCTTTGCTTTTTTTTTTTTTAATTTTCCCGCAATTTCAAAGTTGCCTTCTTTAATTTTAGTGTGATGATGTAGTTAAACTTAATAATGATTTTAATAAATAAAGAATTTTAAAAAGAAATAAAAATGTCAAAAAAATATTATTAATAAAGAAGAAGAAGAAGAAACAATGTTAATTAAATGGTTCCTTTTTTTTCGGGCTAGGAGCTTGATTTAAAGTGTCAAAGATTTTTGTGTATGACCAGATGTATTCTACATGTCTCAATAAACAGTTGTATGTGAATTACCTTTCATAATTACTGTTATCAATTTATTTTCCTTAACAACCTATTTTCCCCATAATTAATTAAAATATTATGTTTTGCAGATCACACGTGTTACAAGTGAAACCTTCTTAAAACCAAGCTTTGAGAGAATGAGAGTCAAATGCAAAGTATCAAGAGTAAGATAATTCAAAAAAGTTTAATGAGTCTACGAAGAAATTCGTCAATGATCGAGGACTCGTGCATTTTTAAAAAAAAAAACTTCAATGAGTCTACGAAGAAATTAGTCAATGATCAATGAGCATTGACTGAACTTATCGTAGACTCGTGCATTGATTAAATTTTTGTTATTACACTCGTACATTGATTGAATTTTTTGTAGACTCGTAAATTGAAATAAGAAACAAATGCAGCATATTGTCTTCTATCTCATTCTCTCTTAGGCTAAATCCTTCTATAGATCTATAAATAAAAAAAAGTGTTGGCAAAAAATTGAGTAGGAAATAGTGTAAAGAGAGGAATGAAGATTTGTGGGGTAGGATTTCAAATTAGGACATGATCTCTCCCAAATTTTTTAGGAGTTAGGAGAGAATCATGGCTCGCGTGGGCAGGGTCGCATCCCTGAAGTAGACCAGTTTTCGTTGGAATTGCGAAAAACAATCTACTCGCTACCCTTTTATTATTAATATATTTATATTACAATATTATAAATAAAGTCTTTGTACAACATCTCGAATAAACTTTTATTTAAATATTTCAGATATTACAAAAGAGTTTTATATAATTGATATTTTTTCAAGCATGAACAACAACAACAACAGCAACACAACATCATCATCATCATCATCATCATCGCACGGTTCTGTTGTTTAATTAGCAAAATAAAAGAAAAAGAAGATAAAGCACAAGTTTGTCACGTTCGAGTAATTTTGCCGCGAAAAAACACATCCCCTACTGGATATAGGAATCATCCCCTACTCCATTTAAAGGCTACCAATAAGGAGTCAGCATTGGACACCCTGCAGCCCCCTTGTGACGACCTCTGTCGGTAGGGAAAGAGGGTGTGTTAGGTTAAACGGAGAGACGACGATTGTCATCGCGTCGTTCTTCTCTTCGTGCCGATTTTAACGAGCCAACGACTTAGAGGATACTTGCACCTCTCTGCGGGTGCATCTTCGCGTGTATTTGCCAGTGATGCTTCCGCGTTCCTTCAATCACCTTGACGCCCTTATTTTCTACAACGTTAATATCCAAGAACAAGAAAAGAAACGGAAACAGTGCACGGTAAAAATGGAATTTTAATTAAATATCCTATAATAATAATAATAATAATAATATTTAATAATTTTGTCCTATTTTAAATTCGAACGAGATATATTATGTTTTGTCTATTTCTTTTTTGTATTTTTATATTTTACGCCAAGAGACACAAGGGATGTTAAATTATTAAGAACAATATATCTATTCCAAAATTATTCATTAATTACTTTACCTAAAGTCAATAATATAATAATAATAATTGCAATAAGAAGAAGAAGAAAAAGAAAGGAAGATTAAAATGAAAAGGGGGTGGTTTTTCCTATTGTAATGGTCCTTTGTCTCTGGCATAAATATTGCATTTTTTTTTTGTTATCCTTTCATTTTAGTTTTTTAAATATAAACGAATCTTGAAGAAGATAAAAAAGAAGAAGAAAGAGAAGAAGAAATTGATACATTTTAATTTATAATACATAAATATATATATATATATATATATATATATATGTATGTATAGAAATGTTATATTGAAATAGAGGGGAGGTGAGTGCGTCGTGCGTGGTTTATCTCGTGTGTGCATGCGTGATACAAATGAAGCAGAAACGGGATCATCCCTCGCTTTAATACACGGTAATGATATTTTGTTTGTTTTTTAGAAAAATATTCTACAACAAATATCATCCCTTTTCTCGTTTAGATCTTGACTTCATTCGATATGCACGGTCGGGTTTATATGCTGCAGAGAGGGGTGGTGACCCGAACTGTAACGGGTGGAACCATGATACTGCACACACACACACACACATACACTTTTGTAACCTACATCTATGGGACATTGGTAGTGTCCTAAATATACATACGTGTGTGATTGCTTTTTAAAAGAAAAAAATATATACACTTAGGTATATACTTTCTTTTTAATTTTATTCTTTTGATTTTTAATGAATTATAAATTAAATTATTCTTTTGTTTTATAAGAGAAAATAATAATAATAATAATAATAATAATCATTGGAGGTACTGTTATATTGACCTTATTATCATCTTTTGTCAAGCGCATGGGCGCGGTTTTGATTTATTATTATTGTTAATATTATTATTATTATTTGGTTTTTTTTTTCTTTTCTTTTATTTGCCTTCCTCATTGAAAATTGGATCCACGTTTTATATTACTCTTTCAAGTAGTTGGTATTTATTGGACGACGGGTGGGAAAAAAAAAAGGAGAAAAAGGATAGAGGGGAAAATGACGACGTTCGATCGTTGTTCCACCCTCCAGGATATGAAAAAGAATGTGTCTTGTTCAAGGGCGTGGCAAATTCTTTATGCCGATCGGTAGGATCACAGTTTCATTCTAATATAAAATATACCCCTCTTTAATAATGATCGTTCTAATATAGGTCAGTAATAATACAAAAACATGACCTTGTTTTTTATTTTTTCATTTATTTTCTTCTTTATCTTTTAATTATTTTTTTATATCTTCCTTGTCTCTTTTTCAAATAACTTGTTTAATTTTTTTTTGTTTAGTTATTTTAAACCTTTTGAACATTGATATATTATTTAGTTGAACCACTGAAATTTTTGCTATCAAATTTAATGTTCCAATATTAATCATTTGTTTTTTTTTTATTAATATTTTTACAGTTTCCTGAGAATATACGTTTCTTCTTTACTGTATCGTTCTGTAAATATTGTAGAAATTCGTTTTGAAATTCAGCGGCATCTTGACCCCGTACGCACGTACGTGACACAAATATACGAATACTTCGTAAAAACTTCAAGACTCGTAATGCACATGCAGTTTTCTGTTTTCCTAAATTCATAATTAGGATTGTCGAAATATTAGCCCTGCTTTTTTATAATAAATAAAAAGTCATATATGATAAAAAAAAAATAAACGTCGTGTTCTTCAATCACTGTCAAGCATGATAAGGGATCGAAAATGTTTCGGAATAGTTCATTCGACAGTTCTGATTACTCAAATAATTTATTATTATTATTTTTTTATCTTTTTATATTTTTGTATAAAATTAATATACTTAATTGATATACGTACTTTACAGATGATATTTTGGATCAGTTTTCCTTGCTCTTCATATGTGTGGAATAGACACTGACGATATGGTAATTATTTATTATTATCTATTTAACAAATAAATAAAATAACAAAATAGAAAACAAAAGGATAATGTAATTATTATCACAGGATGCAGTATGGCTTCAGTACTTTGGCATGTCTCTGGGAACAGTTATGCTTCTCCTGCCTTTTTCTTGTTCTTACTGTTACTCTGTCCACACAATACTACAGGTCAGTATTATAATAATAATAATAATTATTATTATTATTATTATTATCTAATATATATGTATATTTAATTTCAGTATTTAAAATTGAATAATAGTAAATATTTTATTTAAGGATAAAACCATGTTTTAAAGCAAACGCTCTCAACCCTATTAACTACTAAGATTTTAAACAAGGAATTCTAATCTATTTTATAATTTTGTATTAATATGGTATGGTGTGTTCCCGGTGGCGGTGGATATTGTTGGGGTTCTTTGAATCATCATCATTCCTGAATTCAGCCCGCGAGGTAATTGAGGCTCCACTGCCACAGCAAGACCACATTCCATCACTGCCACCACCACCGGGACGTCTCACCACTGCCAAAGCACCAAGTATGTTATTTATCTTGGTTTGATATAATAAATCATCATAATTTTTTTTAAATATCATCATACAACAAATGATGATAATTTAAAAATACGACGAATTCATCCACGTAATGTAACACGTATATAAATACCAGACTTCTAATATTTTATGTTTATGCGAAGATTATTAGACTTTATAAACGAATGATAATTATGAATAGATTATAATGTGTTTAACATTTAACTGTAATTTATTTTTTTGTAGAGTGCGATCAAAAATTTATAAGCACGCCTGATGGACCGCAAAATGGAACTTTCGTTGCTCCTGCATTGATAAATCTAGAAGGAGAATCTCGGCAGTGCGTTTACACATTTTTAGCAGGACCACGTCAACGCGTGGAACTTATTTTTACTACTTTTGGTCTTAGAGGCACACCACCAGCGTAAGTAATAATAACAAATCGATATATAATGTAATACTTCTTAAATTTACTTTCTGAAATGTATTTTTTACTGTGTACAACAGTGGATCAGCTGTTGGAGAATTACCTGCGTAAGTTTGAAAAATCACTTATTCAAATGTTAAATCTTTATAAATAATTACAGAAAATATTTTATAAGTATTATACTTTTTTTTTTTTTATGTACAAAATTTTGCAATATTTATTTTGTTATTGTTTTCAGTTGTAGTCATGAATATATGGATATATATTCGGAAATTCGTTCAGAAAATACTACCAAGCTAATAGAAACACCATTTGGAGGTCGTTTTTGTGGTCCCATTCCACCTCGAAAACGTGTTTCTCTTTATCAAGGCATTGCCCTCAGTTTCTATACTGATAAAAATATCACATTACCAACATTATTCAGTGGGGAATATACTTTTATTAATGCATGTAAGTTGTATCGAAAATAAATTCATAAAACTTACATGTGTAAAGCTTTTCTTTTATTGACGATATAATTAAAAATCATGAATGTTTTATATTTCTATAGCTGAGTTTGAAGTTGGAACACCAGTACCAAGTGTACCGTGTTCATACACGGTAAATTCTCTGGTTAAACGTACTGGAAATATATTATCACCCACTTATCCAGGAACTTATCCGAAAGATCTTATATGCAGTTATCAATTTATTGGAAAACCAAGTCAAAGAATACGCCTGGAATTTCGAGATTTTGATTTATTTTTTGGCGGACCACAGTACGTTTAATTTGATCTTATATAATATATATTTATATATATATATTTGTTTTTAATAATTTATAGAAATAATGAAATTTAATGATGTTATATTTCAGTTGTCCTTTGGATTATGTAAAAGTATACGATGGACTTGACAATTCATCCGCTGTTATTGGAACGTATTGTGGGCAACAAAGAAATTTGGTATTATATTCATCCGAATCCAGTCTATTTGTATTGTTTGTTACTCTTCAGCGTACAGCTAATACGCAAAATCGTGGTTTTAAAGGAATTTTCGAATTTTCTGAAAGTTTCGTTAAATTAGGTAATATTGAAATATTGTTAGTTAAGTATTCTTATAAAAAAAGATACAATTTAAAAAAAGATGAAATATACAATTTGTATTATTTTATATGTTTAGATTTCATAACCAGTTATAATGGAGAACATATAAGAGGCTCGGAATGCGATCAAAAGATTTTAAGTAAAAAGAAGTCTTCTGGTTTTGTAGTTAGTCCCAATTTTCCATTTCCTTATATGCCAAAAGTAGTATGCCGTTATTTTGTTTATGGAATGCAAGATTCGCAACATCTTGAACGTGTTCGCTTGGAATTTCTAGTATTTGAAATTCCAACGAGCGGTACTAAAGTAGAGTAGGTATAATTACTATAAATATTATTTTCAATAATGTGTAATTTAAATGATATTTATAATTATAATCTTGTTATTTATAGGTCAGCGTGTACCGATGGTTATTTAAAATTATATTTAAAAGGACAAGAAGCGACAGATTCTTATGATAAATTTGATTATGAATTATGCGGTGCAAAAAGTAATCCAGCTCATGTAGTTAGTGATGGGCCAAGACTTGTTATGGTATTTAGCAGCGGAGAATTACTAGGAAAAGGTTTTAAAGCAAAGTGAATATCGAAATATATTTAATTGTAAAAAAAGATATCTCTGTTATAGATGATTGTAAATTAATGTTTTTTTTTTTTAATTATAGGTATACTTTTGAGACAGAATATAAAATACCTGGAACAGCCGAACCAGATGGTACCTGTACATTTACATACAGAAGTTCCTCTCGAAAAAAGGGAGATTTTAATTCCCCCCGATATCCTAGTAATTATCCAAGTGATACAAATTGTACTTATCTCTTTTATTCAACGCCAAATGAACAAGTTACATTGATCTTTGACCATTTTAAAGTTAGAACCAAAACTCTGAATGTAACGTCCGGTCACTATGGGTGAGATAAATAAAAAATAAAAAAAAAAAAAAAGATAATCAATCTATCTTTAAAGATTGAAATTGATATATTAAAATAAAGATTACACCTTCTTTAACTTTATTATTTTTACAGGCACTATTTATGTCAAGACGACTGGTTAGAAATTTATATTATGTATCACGATAATACTGAAAAATTAATAGGCAGATATTGTGGTATGACTGCCCCAGGACCAGTAGAATCAACGCTTGGTGCTCGTGGTTTAAAAGTAATTTTACATTCAGATTCTGAACTTGTTTATAGCGGATTTAAAGCGCGTTATACTTTTGAGGTAGCAAAACCAATTTTTGGAGGTAATATATTTGGAGATGCAACATTTTATATTCTCGTTAATGACTTCTCGTTTGATATGACGATATTACAGATTGCGGATCAAATATTAGCAGTCTGAATTATGGAGTAATAACTAGTCCTAACTTTCCAAATAAATATGATGGCCCGTCAAAAAATTTTGCAAGTAAAACATGTAATTGGTTTATAAGAGTACGACCTAATCAACAAATATTATTGGATTTTGATAAATTTTCTGTAGAAGGTGATCAAAGTGGTAAGTAATCGTTTTGTACATCTTGTAATTAATTGAGAAATATACTAATTATTATTGTTTTATTTTCCTTAAATGTTTTTTTCAGTACGTGGTTGTCCTGCTGCGGTATTACGTATGTGGTATTCTAGTTCGTCCACGCCACTTGAGCTTTGCGGTGTTAAAACTTCTGATACCAAGTGGACCTATTTATCGGAAGATAATAATATGCGTCTTAGGTAGATATTTGTTTTTGTTTTATATATATATATATATATTTTTTTTAAATAAATAATTTTATATTATAACGACATTTGAAATAAATATTGTATATAATATTTGCAGTTTCATATCAGCAGATAAAGCGGTTGGACAGCACGGTTTCAGAGCAGTATGGACGGAGATAAATAAAAATATTGATTGTCCAAATCAATTTGTTTGCACGAAAAATAAATATTGTATTGCACAATCGTTGAGATGTAATGATATCAAAAATTGTGGTCCAGACGATTCGTCCGACGAAGAGAACTGTAAGTTTTGAAAATAATAGACATTTTCGAAATAGTCTTTTAATGTACACTTTTTGATGTTGTCTCTTTTGCTTATACGATTTCTATCTTCGCGTGAATTATTCATATATATATAGTAGCATAGTACAATTGTGGTTATTAATAATGATCTTAACATCCAAATTTATGTATGTATTCTTGTTATACATTTAATATAATGTATAAATAGCTAACAAATATATCATTAAAAAATAATTAAAGGATGTGCATATATTTTGATGTGAAGTCTGTTAATGACTACACTTGTACAAGTGTCTCTCTCTCTCTCTCTCTCTCTCTCTCTATCTCTTTCTCTCTCTCTCTCTCTTTCTATATATATATATATATATATAGGGAATTTTATAATTGGGGGTACCAACGAACAAGAGTACCAGTTATAGGACACCCTATATATATACACATTTTCTTTTTCTATTATGAAATATTTCAACATTTTATTAACATTATATGGCGAGATACATGACTCGTTCAGTATTAAAAAAATGAATATATTTATTAAAGGTATAAATGTAATTCTATCTTTATAATTATCTTATTCATTTTTCTGGACACAGTAAAAAGAAAGAAGATATTAATGTTTCCAGGAAAATCTTTTCTACATATATATTAGATATTATATACGATTTATTTATTTTTGACTATTTTAAAAATTTAATAGTGTTTTCCCTTATGATCTCTCTCTCTCTTTCTAAATCTTTTATACTATTTTCACTACTATATATCACATACCTAATAAAATCCCAAGCAAATATGTATACATATACCACATAAAATTTGTAGATACTGCACGAAGCATGTATTATCATGTTTGTTTAAATAAAAGAGAGACGAGTGTTTTATAAATTATATGTATATATGCGGTACATATATAGTTATCGAATAAATTATTTAAAAAAAAAAAAAACAAGCAAAAAGAAAGAAAATCCCATTAACAAAATATAGAATATGCATAAATAGTCCATTCCAAAGAGTCGATAAGAAAAGAAATCATTAATAAATAATAATAAAAAAAGATGATAAGCGATGCCTATACATACTAAATTTAAATTGCTGGGTAAGTAGTTGTACACGTATGTACAGGTGAGAGAGTGGTAGGATTGAGCGGATGAATGCTTGTGTGGTGTCGCAGGTGCAGCATCAGCCCCATTGTCACCAGCACTGGCTGGAGTCTCTGCCATGCTTCTTCTCTCTCTGTGCTTTATGTTCGTGGCCATCTGAGCCCCTCATGAAGCTTCCGACGATCCGGCATGTTATGATCTCCCTTATCACGTGAGTTCTCTCACAGTATTGCACATCATTCCACATAAAAAAAAAATTCTTCAAGTGATTGATGATGTGTTTCCAATAAAAACAACGGCTTTTTTTTACAGCAATTCCTGAATCATTGTTTTATGATAAACAAGTTTTCGAAACATTACGCAGTACATCAATAACACTTGACGATAGAAAACATTAACGAGACTACTTACTAGTATATTGATTGTTGGGAGTAAACGAATATGAAATATATATATTAGGATACTATAAACTTAAAACATATTTTGTTTTTCTTGTCAAACTAATACGATGACCCATATTCATTTTTCTATACTCTGATTTTTACAGGAAATAATATATATATATAAAAATGTTATCATTTGATTCTTCTAGATAAAGAAATACAATAATTCTTGATCACTATAACAACAACAAAATAACATCGACAGTTTTGTTACAATACATGATTTAATTTAAATATTGAAATTATATGTGGTAACACTGAAATCAAAAAGCATGCAGGATGATGCTATTTATTATGTCCCTTTTAATCATTTAAATGCATGTTATTTTTATATTATATCTCTGTGAGTCTTGCAAAATATTTCCTGAATTGTATTGTTTATTATACCTCTCTTTTTCTTGTAGTTTTCTATCAGTGACTTTCTATGAAGTTTGCAGATCAAAAATTTCTAATCATCTATATTGAACACTATAAAACCCTTCTAAAAAAATCTTTAGCACCATAGAAATTGTAATTAATTCTATTTGTTAGATGTATTGTGATCAACAATTTCATTGTGTTTATTAGGTGCTTCAATAATATATAAAAATAAACGAGATTAAGTTTGTACATATTGATGAAATGTACATAGATATTTCGTGTATTATTTAAGAAAATGTATTCAAATTATGTATATATATACATTTATATTGTGTTTGTGTGTATTATGTACAGTGAAAAAAAAAAGACTTTATTCGTAAATTTACAGGTGCTGCTATGGTACCAGCAGATAGTTATGTCATCCCAGCAGTATCTGCTGTAGCTTCTGTTTTAGTTGTTCTGTTTATATGCCTACTGTGTAATAAACTTAAAAGACCTGTTCAAGAGGTTCATATTGATGATCTACATCAACCCGTAGAAGAACGTCATCACTGCTATCATCATCATAGTCTTCTGCAACATCACCAAGATCATATTCATGAATTTAATCAATACCAACTCGAACAACCAAGTCCGCCAAGTGACAGTGATGCTGAACAAGTTTGCGGCGATGAAACAAGTAGTCCAGATAGTGTGTGACCGTGGCCACTCGCAGCGTGGTTTAAATTCTGGAATTCCTTGTATTTCTCCACGTTGCTTCCCAGACTCTTTCTGATGTGTAACTAGTTGTTATTGTTGTTATTGTTGTTGCCTAATGGGAGCAACTTACACAGTGTCATCAGCACTCACTATTACATATGTCAACACGTTCCTTTTAGATTCAAACGAGACGAGAAACTAATATAAACGGAGTCTATTCGATCAATTCAAATGCGATCAATTTCACTTATTATTTGTACAGGATATATTATTATTTTTCATTCAAAACTCATTAAATTTATCATGTTTCCAAATATATACATTTTATCAGCAATAATTATGTATGACTATATTCATTATACTATGCTATTATAATATTACTACTTATATACTAATGCTGCTGTCTCATAAAATATATTATTTGCATGTAATATATTTTGTACAAGTACAAGTAGGCGATATCTTTTTACTAATGTGAATAATAATATTGCAAAGTAAAACATTTTTTGTACAATCAATTGAATATGGTCTTTATGTGTATCTAGTATAATATATCTACAAATAATTGTCTCCTATCATTATTCATGATAACAATAAGATACATTTTTTTTTTTCGTTTGTTAATACATAAACAGTATACCAAATTATACACGCGTTGAATGATATGAAGATTTTCTAATTTCTTGCAGTAATTATGCGAATTATAATCTATCGAATAAGTTTAACAAATAATATTTATAGTACGAGATTCACTATTAATTTCGTGTCGATTTTGTTAATTAATCATACCTACAAATTAATAAGTGTAAAATTGAAAATCAATGAATTAAAAAATAATTTCAATCGTTACTACAGCACACCATTGTACTATAATTTACAACTACTTTTAACTGCCAATTTACTTATATTATTTAACTATCACAACAAAATTAGTATATATATATATATACTCACAGAAGATTTTATATTACATGCAATTTGCAAATCTTTTTAATTATATAATTAAGAAAACTATCAAGAGAATTTTAATATATATTTCACAGTAAATGCTGCCATGGGAGCTAAAACAAAGTATATTCTAAATTATCTTAAATAAATTACATAATACATCTTATGAGAGAGGATAATGTAAACTAGAATGAACAAGGATATATATATATATATATATATATATATATATATATGCAAAGTAAGAAAGATCAAGTATATATCTATCTATCTATATTTGATAATGTTAGTTAACATATTTCAAATTTCTTGAAATAAAATCTTATATACATTGTGTACTACATTTCATAAACTAATTAAACAATTGTTTTCATCTTTTGAAGAGCACTTAAACAAACAATAATGCATAATTACAACAGTGAGATTTTGTAATATCATCGAACCGCTGTGTTCAATTTATTTAAATATGCGGATAAAATTGTGTAATATACATAATAGATAATTATATATGTATATGTGTGTACATATAACATATAAATAGTGCAGTTTGGAAAAAAAAATCACTTTTTATTTTACGCTATTAGAATGATGAACAAATTCTAAGCATTCTGTATTGTGCTTTTGGCTATTAACAAAAACTTATACGCATTTATAATTTCTACAATCTTTTGAAACATATTTGACTGCACAAAGTTACTAATTAGAGATATTTTGGTAACAACATATACAATTCGTTTAAATATAATCCGCAAAGATTTAATATTCATCTATATAATGATCTTTTGATCTCTATAAGTAAAATATATTTAATGTCATTTATTAAACATCAGCATTTTAATTGTGAAAGAAAAAATCATTTTGCAAATTATTAGCAATATTGTTTTTTTTTTTTTTTTATATTACTCGACACAATGTATATACGTATAATTTATGTAATTGAAAATGACATATTAAAAAACAATTTAGATAAAATACTATTTACTTTAAAATCATATATATATATATATAATATATAAATGTATAGTATAGATTACATTAGTAATATTAAAAAGAATTACTAATATAATAGTATATGTCTAACATTATATTTGTAAGTACGAAATCTGCTATAAACCAAACACAGTGATTAGAAATAGTTCAGCTTAGGTATGGTATTCAAATCTAAGCATGTTGTAATATATATGCGACATTTTTCCTCAGATTATCCCATAAATCTGAGTATCTATATATACATATTTAAAATGAATTGAAAAGAGAAATTTTTAATCGGTATTGCAAATGAACACTTTATTATATAACACCCAAAAGGCAAGTATAGAAATTTTGGTAATAAAATTGATATGTTTTGTAACAAAAGCCAAATTATATACACATGCACTGAATATAATAATAGGACCATATATATTTAAAAAAAATATCACATATTTATAAAAAAAAAAGAATCAGAATTATATGTTTTTCAGTGGATTTAGTATCAATTATTATTAATAATATTCATTTCATTGAAGTACTTATACTTATTGTTTGACAAATTAAAAGAATAATGTAAAATTTGATTTCTTTTTTTATTTCATCTTTCATTTAAAATTCATTTCTTCTATTATAAATAAAATTTATTATCCTCATGCACACTTTTTGTTTTTTTGTTTTTTTTTTTTTTTATAATAAATTGAATCCATTGAAAAAAATTAATTATTTCAAAATATAATGATTCATAAAATATATAGAGTGCATTTTTTAAAAGACCAAAAGAAAGAAGTGTTTTAGATATTGGAATAATATTTTTTGGCCAATTTTGGTCTTTATTATATTCATCTTCTAATTGAATGAAATTCAATTATAATTAATGTTCTATTAATGAATAATATATATGCTATAAAAAGAAATGAATCGCTGTAAAAATCAATATTAAACTGCTATAGGAAGCAAGGACCAATATTAGCCAATAAATATAATCCAAATATATTGATATTTAAAATAGGAATGAACAAAATAAGCATATATATATATATATACTCATAATATATATATACTTTCTCAATCATTTGAGAAATATAAGCTAAATAAAATATGTAATCATATTTTATAAAAACAAACAATTATAATGTAAACTTATTGCATTCATAAATATATTCTTTTTGTAGTTTATACTTTCATTAAAAATTGTAATAACTAGCTTGTGTCCATATATATATTTATATATATATGATAGGATTGAAGGTTTATAAAAATTATTTTTTTATATTTCTCATATTGTTATATTCAAAAGAAAGTATATTTGTCTTTTTTTTTTTATTTATGAAAATATTTCTCTCTCTTTTAATAATTTTTCTTTTTTTTTGAATTTTATCATTTACTTACAAAAATGATAAAACTCATGAAAAAAAAAAAAAAAAAAAAAACATAGAAATTTATAAATGAAGAATAATTCTAAATATATCTTTTAGTCAATTATGCTAGCTGGTTTAGCATATATTTATAGAATAAAATTAACATTTGCTTTTTGCAAATCTATTTAATATTAAAATTATAATATATTTTTGTTTTCCCTTCGTTAATTATCCATATAATATTTTTACTATTTCTATAATCACTTTGTTTATGCAGCACAAATACTATATATATATATATATTTATAATGATCCTTTCTGAAAAGATGTATAGATAATAAGTGTAATATTTTTTTTTATATATATATATATATATAAATAATATAAAGTTTTTATTAAGTATATTGACACATGTTACTTCGTGTACCAAACTGGACACGTTAAATAAACTATTATTAAGGAGTGCTCCTCCTAATATACTAAATGAAACGAGTCTTTATAAAAATAAATATTGAAGGCAAGTTAATGCATATTACCATCCTTCATTAATGTTATATATGATAAATAATTAGTTTAACGTAATATAATATGAAATCATATGAGGAATGTAACTTGGAAATGAGACATCATGTTTTTTTCTAGAAATAAATAAAAAGTGAGAATAACTATTAACAATTGTACCGTAATATGTATAACAAATGTGTGTAAAGTAGTAGTAAATTTAGTATTTAAAGTGTTAATTGATCTAGTGATCATAATATATAAATTATAAATGTTGTGTCTACGGTATGAGTCCTCTGAATAATGAAAATACATTTGTTTAATAAAACAATCTCATATTTTCTTTTCTCTTTTACTACCTGCATGTATATATATATACAGAAGTCACGGTTTAAAATTAAGTTAAAACAATTGATTACACTAAAGTTAAACTTGGAAAATTGATGAAAGAATGTGAGCTTGTTATATTCTACATTTTTTTCTTTTTTTTTTTTTATTATACAAAAATCCAAAAATTCAGCAAAAATACAAAATGAATAGAGTACTATTATTCTGATAATGTTTCAACGTTATTAATATTAATATATATATGTTGTCTCAAAAGTAAATTTACTTTTGTTTTCAGTTATATATTTTTTGTGCTTCCAAAGTTATCAAATAGAGTTTAAGAATTACAATTAATCTGAGATATATTTGTTGATCTAATTGGATTATATTTAATATAAAAAATGTGTTATATTAAAATATTATATGTATGTACATATAGTAGTTATATATATATATATATATGTATATATGTATGTATATCCGATGTAATAATATAAAAAAGCAGCTCTAGTATGTACAATGTATTATCTACATTCATATTTCATTTAGATTAATTTTCATAAAATATAATATATATATATATATATATATATAATATATTGTATTTACTATTAAATATGAGATTATAAGATATGTTAGAAAATAGTTGTCAAGATATATGTTTTTAAAATATCTTTCCAAACATCGATATATGTATATATATATATATATATAAAGCTACTTACGCATTAAAATTATAAGCGCATTGAACAACACTATAATAAACAAAATTAGCACCAAATAATTAAATTGATATTATTGGTATATACTACACACCGTACATTTTTTTATTTGAAAAATAATTTCTGTTTGTTTTTTTTTCTAAATAACGCGTTCTAATTGTTTGTAGCCAAAAGAATAAAATAAAAAATAATAATTAGTTTGTCTTATAAAGCGTTGAAAATTATACTTGTTTGCTTTTTATTATTTCTCTCTCTCTCTCTCTCTATATTTATATATTTATATATTTTGTTTTATCTTTTTTTTCTTCTTATATAGAAGATGTATTTTTATATTGTATAATATGTATTATTCTATGTAATATAAAGATAATTATATACTGTTTTTTTAATCATATTATGAAACTAGTCGTCTCTGTGTAAAACCTAAAGCCATTGCACTCGGTAATGTCGATAGTATTATTCAAAGCTTTATAAGAATTACACGTAATGCATATTATATAATATATTATAGTATTGCACATAAATATATTTTTAGAAGAAAAAGAAAAAAAGTATTCTAATTAATTAATTTTCATAAATTCCTATCACGAGAGAGAAAAGGATAATAACGATATTAAATGGAATTGTATAAAACAAACTATAATATGAAATTATTATTATAATAAAAATAATATATGAATGCATAGGACATAAAAATAATGAAATTTGTTACTTTGCAAAAATAATCAAAATCAGGAATTATTAAAAAAAAAATAAGCAATTCATATATTTTTACTAATATTCACGCTCTAATATAAGAGCATACATACATTTTAATCAAATCACAAAAAATTATAAATGTAGAATAAATTAATATCTTTTGACTGTAATGTTCTCTGGTAATAAAGTCTTTTTTTTTTCTTATGTGGAATTATTTAAAATATAAATGTATATATATATATATTGCGCATATATTAAAAATAAGCAGAAATAATAAAAAGACAAAGAAATGATATTTTTTTTCATAAGAAAATAAATAAATAATTGTTTATAATTTAATATGTATATTAATTGAAGTAAATAATAAAAATAATATTAATATATTTACAACTCGTGGCAGTAAATTATTATATGAAGCTATGAGAGTACTATTTCATTAATTAAACTAAAGAATAGGATACATTTTTGTGACCTGGTTGTTTGTGACATGTAAATAAAAATGTATAGAGAGTAGTCAATACAACAAGGCACAGCATGCACCATTCACAGAAGAAATAATAATTTTTTTCATTTAATAATATTTATGCGACATTTGCTAATTTTCATTTGAAAATTTCTCACAACTATGTTTATTTAATCAACAGCACGTTCCTCCGTATATTATAATGTTCCGCCAGACAATTATTTATGCGGTCACATAAATGACTTTTCATTATTGGTAACTTTATAGTTTTTTTGTTTACCTTATCATTGAAACATGCTACCAATTAAGATAATTAAACATAACATTAAGTCAGATTTTACTTGTACATTACTTCTCACTGTTTGTCTCTATCAGTCTTACCCTCATTATTTTGTAACATTTTCTTAACACATTTAAACATCAGCGAAATATGGATTCATACTAAAATACAAATAGTACTAAATTAGCTGTCCATAGCTTTATCGAAGCCGAGATGGATAGAATGTATTTCATCAAAATAAAAAAGTATACTCAAGTAACTTCACCTGCGAAAGCTTCATGCTGCATTAAACAAACCTCATCAATATTAGCTACTGCACATAATTATTTTAATATTTATATATAATATATATATACATATGTATGCATATAAATATGTATATATATATATATAAAAAAAAGGTACACTATACCTGAACATATTGTTCATCATCTGTATCTCCATTACTGCATTGTTCCAAGGCATTGCTTGGATTTATCTTTTCGTAGTCTGAGTTAAATATACTATTATTATCTTTTATCTTTTCATATCCATCAATATTTGTTTCAGATTTATAATTATTTACCTGTTCGTATGGTGGTTCTTCCGATGCAGCAACACTCATGTATCTTACACTTTCATAATTTGGATCCCCATGACTTACAGATTCATAATTCGGATCTGTATCACTATCACCAGGACGGCATACTGATGCATAATTTGGTTCTCCTGAATCATGAGGCATACTCTCATAGTTTGGCTCGGAATCTGTATCCTGATCTAAATCAATTCTTCTTCGTAATCTAACTTTTTCATACCCTGGATCTTCACTACTTGCATTACTGATTTGTCTGTGCTTAAAAGATGTAGGATATGTCAATAATAAGTCAGAACCATCGCGAACTGATGTTGATGTACTTTGATAATCGTTATTTCTTAAAGATTGAAGATGTGGTATTTCATAATTAGAATCACAAATAGGAAAACTTCGTGCAGCTAAATTCCTTTTTGTATTCACAGATTCGTAACCATAATTAATTTCTTGATTTAATAAATTTGTATCTCCATCAGGAATTCGAGATAACTTTAAACAATTATTTTCCATTTCAGGATGAACATTAGTAACAGTATTGGCTGATATTGTGTAATGAACAGTGTCGTGTTCTTCTTTCTGTATTTCTACTGAATCATGACTAGACCACGAAGCTCTGCTAATTTCTATGAGACTAAGTTTTCTATTTGAAGGTATTACTTCTGAATGTAAAATATTAGAAGATCCAGGAACGTCACTTTGCTCTTCTGCATCTCTTTTCTTTTTCATGACTTTAGCATACATATCTTCTAAAGATTTTCCAGTTGATAAATTAGGTCTTATGCGTTCATCATTTTTCGTTCTTTTATCAACAGCAGCATATGCATCTGAAATTGCTTCTGGTGGAGGAGGTAATGGTGAATTAGCTTGACGTTTCTCTGGTTTTGGAGAACCTGGGTTTATGATAGAACTATTGGCACTTGATGATGATGCTAAAAAAAAAGATATATTATAATATTGAATGAAAAATCATCAAGAGAAAAATAATGATATAAATAACTAACCCTGTCTCGAATGAGCATGAGCAACATGACGTAAACTATCAACACTTGGTGGTTGCGGAGCAGTATGTGTTTCCTCTGTACGTGATGATGGTTGAATAAATGGATTTAGTTCACTGTGTATAATTCTATTTGTTTCCAATACTGTTGGTTGGATTTGAGCATATGTTTCACTGCCACTAGTATAAATTTTTTCTTGTTCGTCAATAGCTGCATACATTTCATCTATTGCAGTATAATAATGATATAATATATAAATGAAATAAGAATTATGTTCTTGTAATTTTAATTAACGAAGAGTAAGTGCAACGAATGAGTTTTAAAAATACCTGAATCATCGGATACAGTTGCATAGTGAGGATCAATGGGCAAACGTGTTGGTTGATGTTGTTGATAAGATGCTTTTGTTTGTGCTAATATATTAGCTAAAGGTTCTCGCACACTTATGCTAGTATATCCTTCTACATAAATAAAATTCAAACGTAATTTACTGTGGTGTTATACTACGTATTATAAATTAATATTTATAAAACTTACTAGAATCTTGAGAATCACCGCTAAAATGTTGTGATGTACTAGGTTGTGGTGGTTGTGGTGGATGAAGATGTAACATAGCGAGAGGTGGTGTCATATAAGGTAAATCTTGATTAGCTTGCACACCTCCAGAAATAGCATTTGCAGCTTGTATATCATTAGGATTCTCAGCACTCAGAAGTGAATTGAAAGACGATGATTTTCGAGTTCTAGGTGGTGCTACTGGATTTCCATTTGTATGATTTGATGATGTTGATGGTTTATCAACAATAATCGTTTGAGTACTGTTTTTTCTAAAACATTTACAGTCAATAAAAATTCTACTATATAATTTCATTAGAGGTAATTAATAAAATTATTACCTATGCGATTGATCAATTTCAGATTTTGGTATACTTTGCAGTTGAGCATACGGATGTTCATCTAAAGTGGATATAAGATTTCCATTTAAAACAGATAATTAAAGAAAACAATTAGTTTATATTGGTATTATTATATTTGTATATTACCATTTTTAGATGTAGATGGTGTGAATCTTGAAAGTTGAAATGTTGAATTATCTTGAACTATTGAAACTTGTTGAGAAAGGCTCTGTGTTTCTCTTTCAGACTGTGGCTCTTCTGTTAGAGAATCAAAAAATAGTTTCAAATAAATATCATTATAAAATAAAGTATATCTATTTGAAAAGAATTCTTGCATAATTTTTTACATACCTGTATCCTGCACTGTAGCATACAGTTCAGAATTTACTTCACTAGTTTCATAAATATCTTGAGGTATAGATTCTGCATTAACTTCTCCTCTATTTTTATCTTTTGGTATATCTGGTAAGCTTCTATTAGCTCCACTTATTCTACGAATATAATAAAAAGATAACAACGATACATATACAATATTCTTTTTTGTATAAAAATGAGTAAAAACCTTTTGCCATTATCTATCGTATCCTGTGATGGTGGGACTTGACTAACTTCTAGAGATGGTAGGGTATTGAAATTATCATTATCAGAATGATTGATCGTTACCATTCCACATAACCCAGGTAAATCGTTCCTACGAGAATACACATGTTATTTATAATATTAATAGTAATTAATAGTATAATACAATACATGTTATTTATCAATATCTATGCAATTCAATTAGACTTACTTAGTTTGATTTCTTCGACAACTGCAGATGCAAGCAACGACCAAGCCAAGAAATGTAAATAGAGTTCCAACAGAGAGAACCCAGTAACACCAGGTACTTCCTTCGACTTCAGTTTCTGTCATGTTATAAACTTCCTCCTAAATATATCTTTAAACCTACATCAGCAAGACTACTACTTATTGCAGTCTTACTGTTAACATAACCTAAATACACGTAGACACCTTAAACAGTTACTGTTCATTATTAATATTTCAAGTCATTTTAAATCACTTGTTAATTAATTTATCATTAAATGAACAAATTAATTAATTGAAAAACACTAAATGAATGGTTATAATTAATCACTGCACAGATTAAGGTTACTATCAAAACTAAATCCTATGAAATCCAAGGCAGGCAAATAACACAAATTATAGACACTAAATTATATATTCTAGTAAAGATGCATACACTATACCATTGAATTCTTGATGCACTATCCCACTTGCATATGAAGGAAAGTATTTTTTTATATTATTGTCACTTTTTAAAATGAACATTGATAATATTATAAATATATAGCGTCAGCATAAGTCATGTGTGTGTGTGTGATAAAAGTATTAATAATATTTTTTTTAACGTTATTTCTATTTATTTATAATTATTATTAATAATGTATAACTTTATCTATGCTCATTAAATTTAAATAGAAAAATATGTCTAATGTATGCCGGATGATGAGTGATACATCAAAATGATTCATATCACACATACATATATATATGTAAGCACCGCTCTCAAAATGGCGCGCTTTTTAAAAAAGAAAATAAATGATTATCGAATAATGAAAAATTAAGATGAAAAAATAAAATTTAAAATAAAATATTTATTATTATTATATTATATTTATAGTGTTTGTATCTAACTAGTTAATATATATATATATATTTATAGGAAAGTAAATGAGAAAGAGAAGGATAAACGTAGATGATTTTCGCGAATGTTTCGTGTCTCTACGGAGATACGGTTATCGGATAAACGAAAGTCATGCCACTCTTGCAAAATGCCGGCTATATATTGTCTATTAAGAGAGAAAGAGAAGGCCTGTAAGAGAGAGAAAGAGAAAGGTGGGAGAATTCTAGTCTATGAAACACAAGAATACTAAACTATAATTCTTGACCTTTCCTTACCTAGACCTAATGCCTAATGTATTCATCCCAATTAATGCATCAAATTGACATTGATTTATTATATCTACAAATTATTTTGTGAATGAAAAACAAGTTTCAAATCATACTAATCTATCTATGAATAAAAATAACAGGAAGTAGATAAATGATATATGCATACAGTAATTATTTATAGCTAATTGCAGCAAAGAAAGTCTTTGATTTGAACGATCCATTTTTCTTCCTATTTATTTTGTCTTTATTAATGCAATTGATATTAATGCAACTGAATAGTATTTAAATAATAATTAATAATATTATCGTTCTTAAACTTATGTATCTACATATAAATAATGGATTAGAATTATGAAATATTTATTATACGTATGTACGTGTTCAGAATATTTAAATATTTAAATATCCGAAAATTTTACCGCTCTAAAGATGGAGCGCTTTTTAAAAAAGAAAATGAATGATCGATCGAATAATGAAAATAAAATTAAAAATAAAATATAGACTTGTATATATAAAATATTTATTATTATTATTATATTATATTTATAGTGTTTGTATTTAAATAGTTAATAATATATATATATATGTATGTATATATGTATATATGTACATTCTACAATAATTATTATTTTTTCTTATTTTAAAATAAGAAATTACTTTTTTTATAATAAGTACAATATATTAATTATGGTAGAGAGAAAGAGAGTTAGATTGTCGAAATATCGTGATTATGGCATTTATATCAATGTTAAACAAAAGATTTAAAAATCTATATATATAATGAATAATTAATTAATTTGAAATAAATGATATCATCGATATTTGACACTCGATTATTTAAAAATATTTACTTAATATTACGATTTGTATAATTATATTAAAATGCGTGATATATACACATACAAATTAAAAAAAGAAAAAAAAAAGAAAAAGAAATACATTCACTTTAAAAACTCACATCCTGTTGTCTAGCACACTTCTAAAGATATCATAAAGTTATAATGAACCTTTTTATTTAATTAAAAAATGCTCTCAAGCACAATCGGAATAGATATTTCAATTGTGTTTTATATGAAATCAAAACTTAATCGAATTGATTATCTATAACAAAAAAAAATTCTACGATCTTGAATCTGTCTTTGATAACTGATTATCCGATCTCTTGAAATTCTTGTTGATGATTAATCACTGTGTTCATATAGCACCATTTATAATATCTCGATTATTAACAAAATTATTAACAAAAAAAAATACGAATCAATAATAATCGAATAACAGATGATAATCAATTAAATTAGAGAAATTTGACGTGATCACTTTTAAGACGATTAATGAGCACGTTTTATTATCTATCAAACTTATTTTCAGATGGACATGTGACATACATCGGTACCGGTGGATTATCATAATAACCGTATAACGGTTGCGATACCTGCGGGGGTGGTGCGAATGGATGCATAACATGTACTGGTTGAACATAGGGCATCATTTGTACTGGTGTAGTAGGTACCGAAGAACCATGTACACCGTTACCACGACCTAACGTTGATCCGTTATAAGATCCCACGTAAACATCGTGATTAATTTTACCAGAATAAGCACTAGCGGGTCTTATCATTGAAGCTTCGTGAATACTAGATGCTACTGCTGTCATTCTAGCTTCGTTCATTTGAGTGCTCCACTTGAGCCGACAAATGCAGATGACTATGACAATGATGGCTATGAAAGCGACGACACCACCTACTATGCCAATTATTAAAGTGTCGTCTGTACTTGACACATTTCCGACGGAAACACTGCTGGTATGATCTCCGTTGTAATTTTTATTTCTATTGTTCTGAGTCGTAGGTTGTACAGTCCAGATAATCTCTGGTTCAGCCGTGGTTGATCTCGAGGAAGGTGTCATTTCTGTTGTTTGATATCTACTAAGGGTTGTTCGATCACAGGTAAGATATTCCTCGGTAAGATTGTTTAGTAACATTCCTGATACATAATCAGGAGTCATACAAATAACATTAGGTGCTCTATCGGCTAATCCTTTTAACCATCTCCAAAGATGTTTTGTTTCACAATTACAATTAATAGGATTGCTATCCAAACCGGTAAGTTTTACGGAACCGCTTCTTTCATCTAGAGCAGCCAACAGTTGAACGGGCAAAGCAGTGAATTTATTTCCTGTTATATCCAATGATACTACCGTAGAACGTGGTACTGGGAAGAAAAGAGCTGCTGGTATTGTGTCAACGGATGTATTCTTCAAGCCGAGGGATAATGAAGGTACACGTACACCTACCAACGAACTTGAAAGTACAGTACGTAATCTTTCACCTCGTAAAGTTAATAGTCGTAAACGAGGATGCGTTCTTATAGAAAGTTGCTCGTTTCCCACTGAAGAATCTTTGATTTCAATATCTAAGGTTTCTAGGTTTGGCATCCCTTTCAATATTCCTTGCACGTCGAAATAACCCAATTTCGGATAATTATATGCGTACAACGAACGTAATTTTCCCAAGTGTTTGAATGCGTTCTTTTCTATTCTCGTACAATTAGGAAGATCAGCGATCTTGAGTGAACGCAACGTGGATAATCCATCAAAACTGCTTTCATTGATAGCTTTAACGTCGTTGCTAGAAATTTCCAAACTTTGAAGAGTGGGAAGTATTTTAAATGTATTAATCAAATTAGAGAAATCCGTCAATTTGTTTCTAGATAGGTCGAGACTTTCCAACATGGTGGTACGTTCAAGAACAGCTGGTTTTATGTCTATTATATCGTTGCCAGAAAGATTTAAATGCTTTAAAAATGGTGTCTCAAGTCTGGTCAGAATTTTGATACCAGTTTGGGCTAAATTCAAAGATCTTAATATCTTAGCTTCTCCTAATATACCACGTACAGCATTTTCGCTTAGTGGATTTTCCGAAAGATCAAGTTCTTTAACATTGTTAACTATATCTTGTGTAAATACCTCAGTCATTTTATTTCTTGCAATTTTCAAACTGAATAACGATGCTGATTGTCTCTGTAAAGTTCTTATTGGTATTTCATTGAAGTAATTTCCCGATAGATCGATGCTCTCCACTGAACGAATTCTCGATTGATCGAATATGGTTTCGGGTAATGAAGCTAATTTGTTATTTTGAAGATCAAGATGTTGAAGACGTAACAAGCCCTCCATCGTACGTTCGCTTAACGTTTCTAAGACGTTGTTAGACAGATCCAATATTTGAAGTTGTGTAGAATTATGGAAGGCCAATTCTTCGACTGATTCTATCTTGTTTCCTGAAAGATTCAATGTATGCAGTCGACCGATTTGCGAGAATGAAAATTCACCGACGTTTTTTAATTCATTTCTCGACAAATCCAAATGTTCCAAAAATTGCAAAGATTTGATAAAATCGCTAGGGAAATGAACAAAATTATTGTTGGACAAATCGAGACTTCTCAATCTAGGATGAATCACAAAAGCTGTTGGTGATAATTGATTCAAACGATTATTCGATAAATCCAATATTTGTAATCCTGTTCCAGTATTGAAATATTCACCGATGAATGACGTCAATCTGTTGCCACGTAAATTAAGCTCGTAAAGATTGATCAAGCCTACGAAAGCTCCATTGTCGATGTGTTCGATAAAATTATTAGATAAATCTATCACAGATAAATTGTAATGATGTTGGAAAGTACCCTCGTCTATCTCTTGCAAATGATTTCCAGATAAATAAATTTTCTCCAATGATTCCAAATTCAACATCAAGACTGTCGGTAAAATTTTCAATCCTGTATAAGATATATCGAGTATATACAAGGATGATGGAAATATCGGTGGAAATCCTCCATAAAGTGCATTACTACTTAGATTAAGATATTGTAATCTTGGCAATTGTTTAAAAGTTTCTGGAGAAATCCTTTTCAATTGATTACCAGCCAAATTTAAAGATAATAAATTTCTTAATGGTAATTCGTTTATAGTGGTTAAACGATTGTAGGAAACATCCAAGTTCAATAATGTATCTTCCAAACCGGCGAACGTATTTTGTGAAATAGTAGACAACATGTTGCCAGAAAGTTCTATGCTAATGAGATTTTCGAAATTATAAAACAATCGACCTGGGATTTCTCGTACCAAGTTACGCGTTAATCCTAACGTAACGAGACTAGATGACGTAGATCGAATTAATTCCGCGGATAGTGCCGCTACACGATTGAATTCAACGTGAAGATGAGCCAATGCTGGTAGTCGTGTTAGTGCTGTAGCTGGTACTAATAGAATATTATTATCCTGAAGCGACAACCATTTTAATTTTACTAATCCTTCAAAGGATGATTCCTCTATCTGAAAATAAAAAATACACAAAATCTATTATTATATTCTATATTTTTTAAAATTAAACATACAATTAGTAATATATATTTTCATTTATTTACCGTACGCAAAGCATTTAAGCTTAAATCGAGTCTAGTCAAAGAAGAAAGACTGGAGAACGTATTTATTCCAAGTCGACCAATATTATTTCGACTTAGATCGAGCACTTGTAATTCGGTTAGGCCTAACAAATGGGAACGTTCAATTTCCTAAATAAATTTTAAAATTAATTATCAACATTATAAATATATAATAAATTATTTCAATTTAAAATATAGATTACGAACTCACGGTAATTAAGTTATTCGATATATTTAAAAACTTCAAATCGGTTAAATGTCTCAAAGCATAAGTAGGGAATTCTTGTAAGAAGTTTACAGAAAGATCCAATTGCAATAAATTGTATGCACCTGAAATGATCGATTATTATTAGATAATAAAGATCTTTTTAATTTTCTTTTCTTCAATCTTCGATTATAAATTTCAATAGTTACGAAAATTCATAAATGCACAAGTTGTAAAAATCTGCTAGTTTTAATATAGAAGGAAGTTAAAAGACTTGAGACAATAGTGTCTCGTGAGAACTTAAAAAAAATATGAAGTTCATTGTTCTTTAGAGGTCGACTACTTCTTCCTTGTAACTAAACATCATACTTTCGTAGGAATAATAAACGAGTGAAAAGACGCGCGTCAAATTCCCACCTGTTTTAATGATGTAGCAGATGAGCTTGATAGAACGAGTTTTTGAACATTATATTTTTGTTCTTACCGACCAAAAACTAAAGACATACAATTAATTATAAATATAATAATTTTTTACTTACTTATGTCTTTAATCACGAAAAAATATGTTACTCGACGGAAAAGAAAATCACGTGCATTATTATTATACTTTAATTTTGTCTTTAAATATAAGTTACATATATTATATTTATGTACGTTATTTATTCTAAATATATAGTAAAAAAATATTTAATTTGTTAGAAAGTAACTTGACCATATACCTTTAAATACATCGCTATTAAATCGAGTGAGATCGTTTCGAGATATGTTTAAAAAAAGCAAATGTTCTAATCCAGAAAGAGAACCATCCTCCATATGTGACAATCCATTATTACTGAGATCCAAACGTAACAAAGATTCACCTAGTGTTAAAAATGCTCCTCGTGAAAGGGAACCTGTAAATTAATTTCATTAATAATCATCATTTTTTATTTATAGATTTTGTTCGAAATCAAATTTGAACAAATAATAAAACATTGTTTCCCTCGTAACAATGTTAAAGTTATATGAATAAAATCTATGATGTACGCAGCTCGTAATATTGAATACGTGGAGAAAGTTAGGCGCGAAAATTCTGAGCATCTGGTACGAATGTATCCTCCGTAACGAGTGAACCGTTAAGCAGCAATCTGAGGATCGATATACCTAACTCTTCAAGCAAAACTTTTCTCGTATTACGGGATTGTTAATGTCGAAGATTAGAATATTCTTTAAAATAGAAAATAATCAATGTGCAATCAAATTTTAATGTTATATTTAATAATAACCAACAGAGATAGATTTATATGCATACTTCGAGCATATGAAAATGAATCTAAAACTAAAAAATAAATCAAATTAAACCTACCAATATTATTTCCAATAAGGGATAATATCTTGATGCCTTTTGGTCCTTTCAATGAAGCAGTAGGTACAGTAGTCATATTATTTTCATCCAAATAAAGTTCTTCGAGATTAATGCAACCTTTGAAAATTCCTTCCTCGATATTACGTAGCCCATTTTTCCGAAGATCAAGTCTACGTAATTCTTCCATACCATGAAATTCATTGCTCGAAAAAATAGGATTCAAATTATCACCAAGAAGATTATTGGCCAATCTCAATACACGTAATTGAGTTTGTGCTTGCAATTGACGATCCATTAATCTGTAAATGGAATTATCGGAGAGATCTAACTCTCTCAAGGTTAAGCCAGATCCAACTAGTTCTTCTGGTAAACTTTGATAACCACAGTGTCTTTGGCTGATCGAAACTATCGGTTGGCCCTTTAAACTGTCCAAAGCGTCACGTGTAAACATAACATGATCGCAATCCATTTCTACGGATCTTGGATAATTCGATGAAATCTGACATTTGCAGGGTACATGTAAATCGCGTTTTAATTCTACGCATGGTCGCCATTCTGCCTCGTTTGGATGAATATTGATGACAATTAACAAACTCAATAGAAGATACGTACTGTAAATTATAAAAACGAAAAAACAAAAATAATAAAATTAATTTAAAAACAAATACGATCCGATTATAATGTAGAATAGGAAATCTTGAAAATAGATACTGGCTAAAGGAAGAGAACTATTAACGTTCCTTTGCATACTACTATATTCCTCGTTCCACTTTCAAATTTCAAACGGTGATAGTTATCGAGAAGAAAAAAAAAAAAACAAGATTTTATGAGTTGTGAAAGAAAACGCATCGTTTTCGTCATTTTTTTTTTTCAAAAAAAAAAAAAAAGAATTATTATAGAAAATAAAATATAAATTCGTACAACTATGTGTAAAGATTTCTTCTTCTATCGTAGATGAGAATGATAATTTTTTTTTTTTTTTTTTTTTTTTTTTAAATGGAACATCGAAAGAATACCTTTCTTTTTCATTCATACATCGTATATTATCCTTTTTTCACACGATCGGACAATAACTTCAATTTCACGTGATAGTAAGTATGTGTATATTTAATTATTTCGTAGTATCTTATATACATTTCAATTTCAACGCCTAGTCATCGTAACTAACTGTAAATCAGAAAATGACTTTCGCTTCCCAAGTGTTCAAATTTCTTAAGATAATTATAACCCGATGGATGATGAAAAGAGAGAGAGAGAGAGAGAGAGAGAGAGAGAGAGAAAGAAAGAAAGAGAATGATACTTTGGTGAAACCGTAAGCGGTGAAACTTATATACACACGTTCGAATCATTAATTACAATTTTATGAATGAACCCGATTCACATACGTAACGTAACGTAAATGATCATTTTCTTGTATACTTTTATTTTATCTTAATGAATGATAGCGATATAATAATTGATCTTGTAAAATACTCATCAAGATTTCTTCGTAACCCGGATTTTCTTGAACGAGTATTGGCAGTTAGGTTCGTTCAAACGAATCGTTCATTTCGAATGTAAAGTTGAATTTGGTCGTTCGAATAACGGTAGGTGTAAAAAGATTGTCATGACTTTGCAGACTGTGTATCGTATTTATTCTCTCTCTTTCTTTCTCTCAGATTGTCCTCAATTGAGAATTTCCATCGTGAACAAAAAATTACTATGAACTAAGAATACATGAATGAATATCAATAATCTGAAAGATCTTTAATTGGGTCAGTACGATTTCATTAATTTAATTTGTAATATGTCATAATCATGTTACAGAATACAAACAAATTACTATCATAGTATCTCGTGCATACATTAATCATTATAGAAATCACTTTGATATATTTCACTTTTTATCCTACTTTATTTATTATTTTTTTATTGATTCCAAGTTGGTTATTGTAATGATTAGATATTATGCTGCGTAACGCGTTTCAATGAGATTGCTAACTCTTACTGTCATTAGAAATTCGCTGGTATGTGTAAAAGTGATTACGATATCCTTCCTTCCTTATCATAATTCAATAAAACTTTCTATTTATGCGAGTAATTAATTGTCTCTTTCTAAAATTATATACGTAACCATTTTTGATTTATTATTCATGCGTTATCTTTAAATGAAATGAAATTTTTTTTTATATACATATATTTATAGACTTAAGGAATACCGTAAGCTAACGTGGTTGGATGACTTTCAAGTGAAATAATTTAAACAAATACTTCTTAAGAATACTAAGCACCACTTTTGCCCGACAGCTAGGTAATAGCTGAAAGACTGCAACCGAAGACTGCTTTCTACTGTCTAATTAGTAATACTGGAGCGCACCCACTTTTACGTTGCACGCAATCGCTAATTTCAAATTATTTTATTCTCACGTTCGATATTAAACACTCTTACACACCTCTCTCTAATCCTGTATAAATACGAACAATATACAATTTTTCCTTACTTCTTTTGTTACATATTTATATTTTATACATTTTTAATTATCTTATCATTCATTTCTTACAATACATTGCAATTTTTAAAACTATATATACTTATGTAATAATATCTGTATTTTAAAAAAAAATTCATTTCATTTTATCGACACAGATTTCATTGTATTTTTATAATATTCATTAAACTTTAAATATCCACGAGGAATACATTTGATAGAATTAAAAAAATAACATGTAAAAAATGTGAATGAATGATACATAATTATTTCTTTCGTATTTTCCATAGATTTAAATTCTTGTATACGGTTTATACCATAATATAGGAACGATAAGTCAAGGAAAAACAGGTTTTATAGACAAAAGTATTCGCAGGAAGGAGCAACCTCGAAGATTTTTTCGCGATTACTCTCCTGCGAACTGGATAGACGAGTGTGGCACGATTTAATACACGACATTTATTCCTCGCGAGAATTTATCATTTATTTTTATTATAATATACAAAATCACGAGTTCATAAAAACAAACCAAACAAAACTCTTGTTTCTAAAAAAAATAAAGAAGAAAACTACGCGAAATTTGGCGAAAGAAAATGTTCCATCTTCTTTTCAAGTTTTAAAGAATTTCGAAAACTAACACAATATATGTAAAATAACTGAATATATTTAATAATCTTCAAAAAATCTTGATGTATACCGCGAGAGCGTGAGAACTGATTATGTTCCGGATGAAGGTTAAAATTCTATCATGCGTGAGAAAGAACTTGTTTCATAAAATACAAACAGTACCATTCCTAAATGCACGTGCGTCATGAGAAAGTAATTTTAATAATTACATTCACTGTTAACAAAATGCAAGGCTATGATTTTTTATTTTTTTTTTGTTTTATTCCCTTAACTTTGTCGATAAAAAGTATGAATAATTTTTAACAAATTAAATATTAAATTAATAAAATTTGAAAGTAATCTACTATGAAACGATACATAATCAAAGTAAAACTTGTTAAAAATCTAATTAATCTAGCAAATATCTATACATTCCATTTTTCCATTTCATATATAAATAATACTTACACCATGATGACGACGATGGTGGGGGTATTGGACACTTCCACGTGCCAATTACAAAAATACCGATACCCAAAAGTTTCACAATTTTTTTTGCTAAAGGTGTGTCAATTATCCAGTCGTGTTATATCTCTTGATACCACTTATCACCTTTAAATCACCGTGTCAAATTCATGGAAGATTTTACAGATGGATCGATCATCTAGCGATGATCTTCATGGTCATCGTGTGTCATCGATGGATCGGTCACTTCCTCCTCTCACCTTTCTCTCCTCTTCTTTTTTATCTGTCTTATATTTATCCTTGTTCCCAATAAACTATACCTTTTCTCATTGGATTATTTTCAAATTGATATCACCATTACCAAGCATTATCTATTGGAATAGTTGAATTCCTTTGATGCGCGAAAACACTATAGGACAGAAGAAAATACGAGTAAAATACAAGACCAGAATAAGAAGTCACGGTAAGATCACGATGAGAAAAAGAATTGAAAAGATA